AGGGTGACAAAGGGTTTGGTGTCTTGGTTGTGCGTACATCCAGTGCTGTCAGATGTGTCTCGGTGACGAGGATCAAGCGCGCGTCCACAACCTTGTCAGGGCGTGCAATGTCGAACAATGCACGGCGAACAGGTGGCTTCTTCACCTGCATTCACAGGCGAGACGAGAGCAGTCAGAGCAGTTTTGAGCATCATGTGAGGTTGGTCAAGTACAGAATATGCTGAATTTTTTCAAGAAGTATTGAAAACACTGAGATGTACTGATGAATACTAGGGAGCAGGGAGATAGTGAGCACGGGTGAGAGGATGATCATCACAAGTTGAAACCTGCCTACACCATAATGAACCAGCAATTGTCCTGAATGTGCACTAACTCTTTATGATCCAGCCACTGCACCTTTTTCACAGTCAATCGCTGTTCGTGAGGGCTGTGTTTGCAGACTGCCTTGTACACGATGTGCTCCCTCGTGTCCACCACCTGACAATCAGCACGCAATCAATCACAGGCATAGCCAGAACAACCAGCAGTGAGGCTGCCTTGAACAGCCTGATACAAGCCTTTTAGCGAATCTCCAATCTAATCCCATCCTGCTGCAGTGCACGCGTGCACCACCATGTGTGGGGATAAAAAACCTGTCTCTTAGCACTGCAGTGCAAGCAGGAACAATTTGAGACAGTAAATTGTGTGCAACCCACCTCGACCGCTCTCAACTGCTCTCAACCAACCTGCGCTCACCTGAATTGACGTATTGATTTTTCAGCGAGTGTGCCACTTGCCCTCCATTTGCTGGTATGCACTCTCCTCGAAGTGGCACTCATAGGTCCAGTATCACCTAAAAAAATAACCTCAACAGCTCTCAACCACTTTGAAACGAACTCCACCACTGTCAACCACTCTCAACCCACCTGCACTCACCTGAATGTTGTACTTCTCCCCCAGCGAGTGCGCCACCTGGTCATCCCCCAGCAGCATATCCTCCACCTGCTGGTATGCACTCTCCGGGAGAGGTGGCTCTCTTAGCTCCGGTACAACTCAACTCACTTCAACCAATCTCAACCACTTTCAACCTCTTGTAAACTCTCTCAACCACTCTCAACCGACCTGAATGTTGTATTTCTCCCCCAGCGAGTGCGCCACCTGCCCATCCGCCAGCAGCATGTCCTCCACCTGCTGATATGCACTCTCCTCAAGGTGGCTCTCGTAGGTTCGGTACACCTGGAAAATAAAGATCCCACCGCTCTCGACCACTCTCAATCGAACTCTACCATTGTCAACCATACTCAACCGACCTGAATGTTGTATTTCTCCCCCAGCGAGTGTGCCACCTGCCCATCCCCCAGCAGCATGTCCTCCACCTGCTGGTATGCACTCTGCGGGAGGTGGCTCTCATAGGTTCGGTACACCTGCTTTACAAATGGTGCACGCTCGTTCATGTGGTCTTCCAATTTCTTGGCTGAGAACGGCGGGATGCTGGTCAGGGTAGCGCTGGGACTAGGGAGGGGAGAGGGCGGAGGGGAGAGGGCGGAGGCGGAAGCGGAAGCAGAGGGAGGATAAAGGAAGAAGAAAATGCACACTGGGATTGCAAACGGTGCGTGCTGTGCTTGTTCTCGAATTTCTTGGCTGTGAATGGTGGGATGCTGGTCAGGGTAGCGCTGGGACTTTTGGAAGGGGGGGAGAGAGCGAGGGGGGGGAGGGAGGCAGGAGGGGAGGGGGGTATCAAAATGAGCTTGGAAGGAAGATGTAAAAAGATCCAGGTGGCATCACTATGAGCAGCACGGCGAAGCAGCAAGGGCAAGGACCAAGCAGTAAGGTGACAAAGCTTCAAAAGATGGGACAAGCATACTGCCCATGAAACGGGGACCTATAAACTGAGCTAGGAGACAGGACCAGCTCGGCACTCACTCCGGCCTGCCTTGCACGGAGAAGAGAAGCTTCCCCAGCCGCACCAGCAGCTTCACCCGCTCCACACCCCCCTGCGCGCGCCCTCCCCCTTCCGCGCCTCCGCCTCCTCCTCTGCCGGCCATCAGCGCGCGGCGCTCCAGCATCTCGCGAACCGCGTCGAGCGCTTCACTTAGAGGATGCCGAATCGCGTCGTACAGCTCTGGCTCGCGCGGCCGCCTCGCGCCGGCGCGCCGGGGAGACTCCCCACCGCTACTCTCGCTATCGCCATACTCGTTATACGCTTTTTCGGTTTCGGGATCGTAGTCCTCCCAATCATCCTCGCTATAGCTCCGAGACGCGACGTTCCCGACGCTACCAAGGCCGGCGCCGTGAATCACGGCCTTGGAGAGAACCGCCATGCGCCTATTGCGGAGATGCAGATAGGTCTGGCTATCGAACGGCTTGAACTCGAGCGAGACGCGCTGATCGCGCGTCAATCCGACGGCTCCTGTCTTGCGATCCTCGTAGTCGTCCACGAGCGTGACCACCTTCGCGTCGCGAGCGTGCTCGACGCGCCCGCCGCCGCCTGACGTCGATCGCGGCCTTCGTGCTCCCCACTGCGCCATGCTGATGTTCAGGAAATGGACCCAGCAATGACAGAAACCCGTACGACGGAAGCTTAGGTGATGATGAAGGAACAGGGCTGCTTCTCAGCGAGCTTAAGAGACGTTGCTAGCGATGGCAGGAACTTATTATTGAGCGGCACGATTCGGGTGATACTAATGGCGATGATTTGCGCCGCGGTTTAATAAAGACGGGAGGCCGGTCGCAGTGACATCGACATCGGAAAGAACCTAAGTCAGCCAAAGCTCGAGACGCAGAACAGGGGGGTTGCCATAACGAAATGGATACGTCCAGGCGTTGACGCGGCTCGCTCAGGAACCGTGGCGCCAGAGCGGCGTAGCTCGGCGAGCCGCCATGAACGACAGGCATGTCGTTCAGGCGGCTTCGCAAAGCAATCGGCGCGTTTGCCAGAGTAAAGTCGCATCTTTTCAAGTCAATCGCTGAGAGGACTCGCGGAAAACTGCAATGCATGCGCAGGAGGCGGCTCTTGCAATCCAGGACGAGTTCTTAACGAGCCGTAAGACATAAGGCGGGAGGTATGCGAGGTAAGGACGTGCCCAGCGCGTGAGTGTTGAAAGATGTGAAGCAGATAGACACGATGCAGTAGGAATACCCAACCGAGGAACGCACTATTTGCTGTGAAGCATGGTGGCCCTGACAGCCTTGGGTTGTCGCATCTCGTCCTGCGGATCGCGTATGCTGAGACAAGGCGAGAGCTTTGCGTGGGTGTCCTAGCTCTACCCTCCAGGTAGGTGCTCCGTTACGCTCGAGTAAATGAATAATTGCCAGTTCATAAAATAAATAGTTGGAAAAAAAAGCAATTCTACAAGGTCCTCTAGATTGATGGATATGTTCCAATAAATGAGACTAGAAGTAATTTTTATTGAGTTTTATATGGAAATTTTGTTGATTTTTTCATCTAAACGAATCAAATGTAAGCATTTGTACGTCATACCTGAATACTTTGTTTCTTTCCTTTGTTTAGTTCTACTGGATGAGAAACACCATAGAAATACAGCACTTCCGCTGTGGTAACTGGATTAAGTTTCTAGTGAGGAAGCGCGTATGGTAGATCCAGGTGTTGTCCATATCCTGTCAAGCCGCCTTGGAGCCCCCATACGAGGCGCGAGGGCGCAAATGAACTAATCTCCTGTCGCCACGTGCTCTAGCGCCTCGATAAGCAACGCCGCCTTCGCGGATCGTCATCAGAGTTCGCTCCCCCAACCAAACCACCCTTTCACTTCGCTCAGAAAATCGTCAGCGAGAAATTCCGTCGCCACCAATAAGAGAGATCACAAGTCGTTTCGCACACATACCTACTGCACATCCAAGTCGTCTATCCCATCGCCAATAAGAAGCTATTCTCGCACAAATCTGCGGCTTGCTCTCCCACCCAACCTTCACCTGCAAATCCCCCCCGCCCAGTGCTCGCCCCTAGATTGCCGCCACACACGGCAACTCCATTCCATTCACTCCCGCAATTCGCCCTTTTTCCTCCTTTTCTCCTCTGCCTCGACCTTTCTCCCCCCACCCCATCCTCTCCCTCATCATCCCCCTCAGCTTTCCCCGTCTGCTGACGCATGGCGGATCCCAATCAAGATCTGGGCTGCTGAAGATTTGATCACCCTTCCTCCCTTCCCTAGTGCTTTTGTGAGTTCCTTGCCTTGCCTCCTGTGTTCCTTCATGTGTGGCTGGGAGTGGACGATGCAGCCCCATTCTCGAAGTCTTTATGCGCCATTAGCCTCGCTCCTCAGTGCCACTCTACAAGTGTGATTCACTCTACGCACTGACTTATCCTAGGTTTGCCCCATGTGAATGCGCCCCGTACCGAAGTCATTGAACCATTCAGCTGCCCTAGCAATGGGATTCAGCCCATGCAAACACACTCACAACCCGCGGTTTTAGTAGTTGAACAGGGAGATTTTCCACACAAAAGAAAAGGTGAATTAGACGTCGCATCCCGTAATTCCAAAACGCAAACACTGCATCAATCGCGCGCCTCATCAACTAGCAGCGGCGAGCAGCTGAGTTGCGATACAGGAGGTGCACGGTAGCCGTGGTAGGCAGTGGCACGGGAAAGAGGGTAGGTTGTATCCAGCATGGCCGACAGAAAAGAGGGCCACGCGGGCGGCCTTGACTGCGGCAGTCGAGCGAGAAGAAGCGACGAGGGCAGCAGCAGCGACAGCAGCAGTAGCTATGGAAGCAGCCATGGCAGTCTCACCGTCGCAAATGGCACCTCCATCACTGCAACCGCCGCCGTCGCCGCCGCCGCCGCTGCCGAATCCACCTCCGCCGAAGTCGCCGTCACAGCCATCACCAGCGCCGCTGATTCGGAAACCGAAGCGCTTTTGTCTTTCGGCACGTCATCCAGCGATCCGTCAACTCCTCGCGACGATTTTTCGTCAACTCCAAGCGAATCGCCCTCTCCGTCGCCACCCTCGCCGCAGTTCGCGGTGAGCGACGCGGCGCAGCCGTGGTCGAGGACAGGTGGCGCAATGGCATTGGACGCCGCGAGGCTGATTCAGCAGGTCGGGATGCAGCAGCTCATGCGCCGCCGGCAGTCGCCGCGCCGAGCCTCAGCTCCGGAACAGGTCCGGTCCGAACCTATCCCAGGCACCAATTCGTTTCGTGATTTTGTGTTGGCTTCTGCTTTGGTTCTCCGTGCCAACTTCGCACTTCTACGATTCTTTGTTTATACATCTTTTTTTGCTTTTCCTTCTGTTTTTGAATATATATTTTTTTTTCAGCTGCCCGACCCGCAGCCCAGCACTTGGGCGTATTCCCGCCCGGTGGTCATTCTCGACGCGTTTTGGAACCTCGCCTTCGTTGTAGTCACAGCCATCACGCTCTTTATAAGCCAGGCGCGCAACGAGCGCCCGCCCGCGCCGCTGTCCATCTGGTTACTCGGTTACGCCGTGCAATGCGCCGTGCACGTGATCTGCGTGTTGCTGGAGCACGAGCGGCGGGAGAGTCGGCGCGTAAGGGAGCAGCGGGAGCAGCGCAGGGGGAGGAGACGGGCGCGGGGGAGGGGGAGGGCGGGGAGGCGCGCAAGGGACGGGCGGAGAGACAGGGGGAGGGAGAGAGGGGGAGAGCTTGAGAGGGGAAGCGGGGTGGCGACGGGGGGGAACGGGAGCGTGAATGGGGAGAGGGGTGGAGGGGGGGATGCAGAGGGGACAGAATTTGATGTACCGCTGAACCAATCGGGGGAGCTGGGGGGAATAAGGGGAAGCGGAGATTGGGGGGGAAATGCGGAAGGGACGGGAAGCCGGAGGGAAGGGGAGGGAGAAGAGGAATTCATCTCCATTCTACGCAGGAGGGACGCGGGTAGAGCGGTGACTCTAGACGAAGCAGCTTCGGTGCTTATAACGGGACGGGATCTGGTAGTGGACAGGGAAGAGCGGGAGGGGGAGGCACTGGAGGGGCTTCTGGGGGCGGAGAGGGCGGGCGGGGAGGATGGGAGAGGGGATGCGCAGGCAAGGAGGGTAGGGAGAATGGTGGGTGAGGAAGGGGCGACGGTGGAGGATGAAGAGATGATGGTGGGAGCTGTGGATGAAGGTGAATCGGACGACTCAGATCAGAGGTAAGAAGCACTGCGGTGGTTGGTTTCCCTTCCTCTCTCTTAGGTGAGTAAGAAGCACTGCAGCGTGCTCCCCTCCACTCTCCCATGCTCCACCCACCACCCGACCCTCCCTCTCTCCACCATGATTCCCTACCCCCCCACGCACCATTTCCCTCTTCCTCCCTCCCCACCTTCTCCACCCTCGCACGCCCCATAGAGTTCGCCAACACCATGTTCTCCTTCGCCTGCTGGCTCAAGCTTGCTCTCTCCTTCTCTCTCTCTCCTGCTCGCCCTCTTGCCTTCCCTCCCTTTCACCTATTCCAGCCTGGCGCAATGCGTAGAGTCAGCCAACACAATGTTCTCCTTTGCCTGGTGGCTCGAGCTCACTTCCTCTCATGCTCTCTCCTGCTTGCTCTCATGCCTCCCTCTCTCCTTCTCACCCTCTCACCCTTTTCCAGCCTCGCACGGCGCGTCCGGTCAGCCAACACCATGTTCTCCTTCGCCTGCTGGCTCGAGCTCTCGTGCTCGCACATCTCATACTGTCATACCGCCTCCCCCTTTAATCTTTCCAGCCTCGCACGGCGCGTCGAGTCAGCCAACACCATGTTCTCCTTCGCCTGGTGGCTCGTCGGCTTCACCTGGATCCTCTCCACCATCGACGACTCCTTCAAAGATGCTCCCATCCTCTCCTGGTGAGTTCTTTAATTTCCTCTCCTGGCAATACCTTCCATGTAATGCTCTTCAACCCGTGCACCCACCCATCCTTCGCCTGGTGCCACCTGGATCCTCTCCACCATCGACGACTCCTTCAAGGACGCTCCCATCCTCTCCTGGTGAGACTTTCTCCTGGTCTGTCCTCCCATGGTGAGACCTTCAATGTAATGTGCTCCCATCCTCTCCTGGTGAGGCGTCAAACAGAAGACACCAATCCATGCGCCTATTATCGCCTGGTGGCTCGTCGGCTTCACCTGGATCCTCTCGACCATCGACGATTCCTTCAAAGACGCGCCCATTCTCTCTTGGTGAGACTGACGCCCCCGGCAGTCAGCCCAAATACTTAAATCTCTCTCATCCTCCGTACTCTGAGACCTTCAATGTAATGTGCTTCATTCAGTCCACGCGCCTATCTTCGCCTGGTGGCTCGTTGGCTTCACCTGGATCCTCTCCACCATAGACGATTCCTTCGAAGACGCCCCGATCCTCTCCTGGTGAGTTTGATGCTCCCCACTCATATACGAGACTCCTGCTCATTCTCCCGATGGTGGGACCTTCTCTGTAATGCACTTCAATCCATGTGCCCATCCTTCGTCTGGTGGCTCGTGGGCTTCATGTGGATCCTATCCACCATTGACGATTCCTCCTCACTTCACGTCCTCCTCACCTCTCTCCACCTTCCTTCACCCCCATCCACCCCTTCATTCCCTCGCATCACCGCATCAGGGCGATCACAGCCTTCATAGCATTTGACATTTTCTTTGTCGTCTTTTGCGTGGCTGTGGCGTGTGTGGTGGGCACGGCCGTGTGCTGCTGTTTGATTCCACCACTCTCCTGATCACTTTACTGTTGGTCTTCCTCACCCCTCTCCACCCCTCTGAACTCCCCCATACCCTTGCATCACCATACCAGGACGACCATGGCGTTCCTGGCGTTTGACGTGTTCTGTGTGGCCGTGGCGTGTGTTGAGGGCATGGCCATGTCCTGCTGCCTGCTTCCACCACTCTCCTGATCTCCTCACTTTCCCTCTCCCTCACCCCACTCCACCCCTATCCACCACTCTCCACCTCCCTCGACCCCCCCATACCCTCGCATTTCACCACATCAGGGCCACTACCGCCTTCCTGGCGTTTGATGTGTTCTTTGTGGTCTTCTGCGTGGCCGTCGCATGTGTGGTGGGCATGGCTGTGTGCTGCTGCCTGCCCTGCATCCTCGCCCTCATCTATGCAGTCGCAGACCAGGCGAGTGCAGAAAGCAGTTAGCTAGCGCAGTAAGGGTGGCTGGCATGGTTGATGAGTGGGCGTGGGGTGAGCATAGTGTGGCCATGGCATGGCCGTGTGCTGCTGCCTGCCCTGCATCCTCGCCCTCATCTATGCAGTTGTAGATCAGGCAAGTGCGGCAAGCAGCACAGTGACTGTAATGAATGTGATGTGATGTATGTAATAGATCATGGATGCAATGAGTGGATGCGGGATGAGCATTGTGTAAGTATGGTCATCGACAGCTGCATCATCACTCTTGACTATTTCCTTATAATTGCTTTGAGGGTTGTGGGCTGTTCGGACTGACCAGCGTGAAAAGTGCTAGCAGCCTCAACAGTGATGATTTTTATGTTCTCTTGCTCAACAGTGATGTGCCAACCTCTTGCGCATGTTTCCTCTGCCCATGTTATCCTTCCAGGAAGGAGCTACACGAGAGCAGATCGAAGCTCTCCCCAAGTTCAAGTTCTACCACCATCGCACCGCCGCTAACAGCTCCTCACAAGCCAGCAGCATATGCCCCTTCCACTCCTTCTCCTCCTCCTCCTTCCGCCTCTCCTCGTCTCCCCCCCTCTCTTCCTCCACCTCCTTCTCCTCCTCTCCAGCCGTCCGAACCGCCCCCTGCCCCTGCTGCTCCTCCTCTGCCTTTGCCGGTGCCATGTGGCGCAACGCGGTTGGCTTAGCTGCTGGGCTCTGGAGGCGGGCAGGCCGGGCAGGTGGAAATAACAGCAGCGGGATAAATATTCCAAGTGGCGATGCTCTGGACGTGCGTGTGACGGTCGAGGAAGAGACAGGTGGCGTCATGTCATTGGTTGGTTCAGCCCACCCGCCAAGGCAGAGGCATGTGGAGGCAGAGGATGCAGAGTGCTGTGTGTGCCTTGTAAGGTATGAGGATGGGTGTGTGTTACGGGAGTTACCATGCTCACACCACTTCCACACGGCATGCATTGACAAGTGGCTCAAGTCGCACCCGACATGCCCACTATGCAAGCGTGACATTACTAAGGGAGTGGGGAGCAGGCCATCACCAGACACACTGCCAAGTTCACTCTCTGCTGGAGCATCGCCGGAAGGGGCTCTTGAAAGCACTCCAGGGCCAAGCGGGACACCATAAATATGGTTCTCAATTCAGAAATATCAGCTGGAAATTTGTGTGGTAGCTGTGACCTTGAGTTTTAAAGACCCATGGAGCACATAGGAGCCATGCATGAAGTACACTTTTGCGTGAATATAATGTTGTGTTCATTGAAGTCTCGTACTGAGAAACTATTGGTGTTGAATAGTTGTAAGGAGTTTTCTCGCTATTCCTTACCGCGACCGTCCACATCGCGTACAGCAGCAGCCGTTGTTCGCCCGTTACTGCTAACGGGGCTTCGCCAACTTCGCGCGCACTGTTTCACCAAACCTCGCATTGCTGGAACAGCCGAGTCAGCCTACGCTTTGGGACTAGCCCGAACCTCGCGCCAGCGAAGCACTAGCTAGCTCGCACGCACTGCGTTACCGTTTGTACATTTTCGCGTAAAAGTATTTGCTCATGCCTTCGCACATATTGTGTACTCATTGAACACTCTAGTGCAATCCTCGCTACCTCGATTCATTGCACCCGTAACACTTGGTTATCAGAGCCACTTTCTTTCGGACCGCGCATCTCCGCACCCCAGGAAATCAACTTTTGTTTTTTCACTCGAAGGGACTCACGCCCCTTCGCACCTAGGAGCCGCTGTCCTCGCGTTCTCTCGTAAACGCGTGCAGCCACGACTGCGCCTAGACTAAGCTGGGCCAACGCCCTTCGTTTTGGCTGAACATATCGACGTCACGACGCTCACGCAGGACCGTTTGAACGAGCTGCTGCGACAACTCCACGAAAGCTCTGAAGAAATCGCAGCATTGACGGCCGAACGCACGTCCCTACAGAATGACGTCGCACGAGTACAGCAAGCACAATCACAAGCACCTGGCACTCCGGGACAACCTGCACGACAGGCATCACAGCACGGAAGTGTGGGGCAACCCGCAAGCGCGGCCAGTGATGGCGTCGTCCGCCACGACGGAGACGACGACCACGGCACGACACACCCTGGAGCGACGATTGCGGCCAGGAGCCAGCCTTGCGTCACGATTTCGGCACCGACCAATGATTCGGCACTGTCGTCACCGATGCCGCTGAAGCCGCAGCATCCGCCATGCTTTGACCCGAGTCAAGGGGGTGGTCCTACCGTTCAGGCATGGTTGTTCACGTTGAACGTATTTTTTTACGCCAACTACGTCTCGGAGGATACGGCGAAGATTCGCTACGCCGTGTCGCTGCTGCGAGGACCCGCCATGGACTGGTGGCGCGTCATCGTCACGAAGCTGATGGACTACGCGACTCTATCGACACGGGAAGGACAAACCGGACCCTGGGCGCCGTCGAATTTCGTAGAGGTGCCCCAATATTGTCAGAGGTCCACTGGTGATCCTCGATTGATTCTAGGGAAGAGTTACAGGCTCGTTGTCCTGGGGGATTATGGGCGCACTGACCCGCTACTTAACAAGCCCTTTTATCCCAATGGTCTAGTGGTTGGGATTCTGACAAATATCGCACGTGGGACGCGTGGTGCGCAGGTTTGCGCGCTCGATTTGAGCCAATTGCGGCTTCGATCGCAGCGCGTTTGAAGCTCCGCACTTGGCGCCAACCGGTTCCGTCCAAGACTACACTAGCGGGTTCCTGGCGCTGTGTGAGCAAGTGGGATACATGTACGAAAGCGAGCGCATCGACCACTACATCGGCGGCCTAAAGCATGATATCGCCCAAGAAATTCAGCTCCGCGGCGTCCCTGACTTCAAGGAAATTCTCGCCATGGCGGAGAAGCTCGACTTCTTTCGCAAACCGAGGCCGGGGTCCTACGGAAGCAACAGCAACTGGGGACATCGATCTCGTGGGACGAACGAGGGCGCCACGATATGTGCCGTCGCCACGAATGCTGCTGCCCCACTGTTCAAAGGGCGTTGCTTTGCGTCCAATCGGCCGGGACACCGCAAAATCGAATGCCCGGAAAACGCTAAGGGAAAGGGGGAAGCTGAGCAGCAGAAACAGACCAAGCAGCAGGGAAACGCTGGGAGTCAGTAGCAGATGTGCCTTCTACTGACAGGTCACGCCGCTCGCCCGACCCAACCGACCCTCACCGAGTGATTGTGCCAGTTCACGCAATCGACCACATCCGGCCGAATAAGGAGGGTACTTCGGTAGACAGCCCCATACTTCTTAGTGCGAAAATTGGGACAGACTAAGTTAAAATGTTCGTGGACGGGGGAGCCATCCACAGCCTGATCAACACCGCTTGGGCACGAAAACTGAGACTGCCACTAGACAAATGTTTACCTGAGATCGACGTGAGACTGGTTGACGGCACGCCACTGGCGATACGGGAACGCGTAGACCGGGTTCAGATTCGATGCGGGGGTAACTTCACGTTTAGCCAGGAAATGCTCGCAACAACCCTTGATGGAACCGACATGTTACTCGGCCGTGATTGGCTGCGACGACACAATCCGCGAATCGACTGGACGACGGGTGACTGCACCGTGCGAGTGAACGGTAACAACATCGCCTTACCTCGCTGGGGCTCGCCGGAGTCTTCGTCAGTGCGTGTCAACGCAATCACGATGAAACGCGCCGTAGCGGCAGGAGCTGACGTGTACGCGGTCGACATTCGGGAAGCCGAGGCAGCACACAAAGGGGGGGATTTACAGAAACTGCTAGCCGGCGTACCGGATGACTTGGCAGCACTACTGAAGCAGTATAGTGGGATTTTCCCAGATGACCTGCCGACAGGACTGCCACCTCAGCGGCCGCACGACCACTGGATAGAGCTAGAACCGGGGGCACAACCGACAGTACAGCGACAGTTCCGACTGACCCAACCCGAATTGGACGAACTGAGGAAGCAGCTGTTAAACTTATGTTTATTATATAAATTGTTTGCTGTAATAGTTGGAAACAGCAGTAGAAAGTTAGAAACAAGAAAGAGGGGTTTCACTAGCAGGCAGTTGAGTACATATAGCAAACCCTAAATTGGGCTGTACTCGCTATTGAGTACCCCACTGCAGGCTAGACAAACATAACATTCTGACGGTAATTACTGTAGTGTTTGAGGTATTTCCTGTAGGTGGTGCACCTCCCTTGTTTCCTCTTTGTACCTTGCTCAATAGTGAAACCACACCTTTCTTCTTTCTCGACACTTTTCCCTTCACCAAACTCCCTCGACACTCATGCCTAGCTCAAACCCTAAGCATGCCTCCTAATCTCTCCTAGCTACCATTTTGACAGCAGCTAGACTACCTTCTCGAGAAGGTGTTCATTCGCCCGAGTTCGTCACCCTTCGCAGCGCCGATACTGTTCACACCGAAAAAGGACGGGGGTTTTCGCATGTGCATCGATTACCGCGCAATGAACAGGGTCACCATCAAATCCCGTTACCCCATCCCACGAGCGGACGAACTGATCGACCAACTGCGCACAGCCCGGGTTTTCTTGAAAATCGACCTTCGGGGAGGCTACCACCAGATCCGAGTCAACCCACCCGACTGCCCGAAAAAAGCTTTCCGAACATGCTACAGATCCTTCGAATACACCGTCATGCCCTTTGGACTGACCAACGCCCCCGCAAATTTTCAAATGACCATGAACGAAGTCTTCCGACCGCTTTTAGATAAGTGTGTCATCGTGTACCTCGATGACATACTGATTTACAGCCCAAACAGAGCACAGCACCTACAAGACATTGAAGCAGATTTTAAAATACTGAGTGAGAACCGCCTACTGACGAAAGCATCTAAGTGTGAGTCTTTACAGGACAGACTGGAGATTTTGGGACACATTCTTTCAGCTGAAGGAGTGGAAATAGCCCCGAAGAAGATCACGATGATTCAAGCGTGGCACGCGCCGACAAACTTGACCGAGTTGCAGAGCTTTTTGGGGTTCGTAAACTACGTGCGCCGGTTCGTCCCCGACATGGCGAAGTTGGCTGCTCCGTTGACCGACCGGCTGAGGAAGGGCCCTGCAAGGCGCTCCTCCGACAGCAGGGGGTCATCTCGGAGGCCGCCCTTTGCGCCGCCCATCTCGTCGAACAACGGGATATGGATCAGCAGCGACCAGCGCCACGACGAGAACGTGAATGGCTCGCCTTCTACGCCGACAACAACGAAGAGCGACGACCGCGGCGCCTCTACTGCAAAATCTGCAGAAACTTCGGGCATTTGGCGGATCGATGTAAGTTCCGATCTCGCCCTCGCCAGACCAATCCGAGCATCTGGTCCGGCCGACAAGACGCACGAGGCGACGTGCGTCCAGCCCAAGGGTATCAACCCCCACCCGCGCGCAATCTGAACTCAACCGTTCAGCATCAGCAGCAGCAGCCATCAACTGCCCCTACGCGCAACGTCATGAGCAACATGGCCATGACAGGCGAGTCACGTCGTCGCCGTGTTCGCTCACCCTCACCTGAGCCAGCACCGCACCCCATCAGCGCGTTCACCAACAACAACCCGTTCAGCCCGCGCCGCGACTTCAACGACGACGACGACCAGGACTGGAACCTCCCAGTCCCGCTGCTTGAAAGTCCCCCGCACATACCGGAAATGCGGGTGGCGCCACTTGATTGGCTCTCGCGCGAGCAATTTCTGAAGTTCGACACCCCGCACATCGTCACACCGCGATTGGCGCTGCTCGCACGTGACGACAACAAGCGCTACAACACCTGGTACCTGGACAGCTGCTGCGGCCAGCATATGGTGGGCTCCGAGTGTTACATATCCAACGCCGGGTTGAGTACACGTGGGGGGAGAAAGAGCAAGCTGCCATCTCGTCCCTCAAACAGATTTTGTGCTCGCCGCTCGTGCTTCACATCGCAGATCCGCACCGTCCGTCCGAGCTCGTCGCCAACGCACGTGACATCGCCGTGGGAGCTGTACTGTTGCAGGACTTCGGGAACGGCCTCCAGACAATCGCGTACGAGTCCCGCAAGCTGCACCCGCCCAAACGCAACTACCCAATACACGACCGCAAAATGCTGGCGATCGTCCACGCGTTCAAAATGTGGCGATGCTACCTGACTGGCGCCGACGTGACAGTAC